AAAACATAATTATATCTAATTACTAATACTAATACTAACAGAATGATACCTAATTACTAACATAATAACTAATACTAATTACTAACAATAAGATAAAACAAAATTATAAACTAATACTAATTACTAACAATAATAGATATGGAGTCGGGCAAGGATTTGAGGCAGAAGCGGCTTGAAGAGGCTTACGGGATTGAGGAGTTTGGGTTCGGTTCGGCTACAGGTAAGGAGATCGAGCAGGAGATCTAGGGCAATGAAGGATTCGGCTTTGGAGGAGCAAGAAAGGTCGGTTCTCTCACTCTTTCTCTCTCTCTCTCTCTGTGTATGGACCGAACGACTCGGGCAAGAGCTAGAGTCGGGCTTCAATAGAAAATGGGAAGAGATCAAAAGCTTGAGCTCGGTCGAAAGAGGGAGGAAGGGCTTCGATATGTTGATGGGGTTTGGCGTGGACTAGAGTTGACGGAGGCTACGGGATGATGGGTTGAGGAGCTTGGCTGCTTGGGGAGGAGGAGGAGAAGGTTTGGATCGAGTGGGAGCTTTTACGCGAGAGAGTCGAAGAAGCAGCGATTCTTCTCCTTTTATGGACATAAACTGGTGGCAATCCAACTGACTTACGCATGTGAGGGATGGGAGAATGGATTCGACACCGTTTCCAGAGGCGTGGGGCGCGATTTTGCCAGGGATTTGCAGCAGGTCTTGGCCACAGGAAATGATTTGTATATTTTTTTTATTTCTTTTGTCTGTTACTTCTTGGTTGTAGCTAAGGGGTCAACACCACTGCAAAATGAGCCTTGTGTGACCCCACCCTATGAGAACCCAAGCCTACCTCCACTCCCAAATATTCCCAAAATACCTACTGCGGAGAAGGTTGACATGATCCTGAGTGATGATATTATTTTCACAAAAGAAGGTGGATGAAGAAGATATTTGATCAGGTGGAAAGGCAATTCAGAGTCAGAGGACACCTATCTAGAGAGCGAGAAGCTCCAATGGATTGATCCAAATGCATTAGAGATTTATGAGGGTACCCGGGATGCGTACTCGATGGAGTCGAGATTTTTTTCACCCCGAGACATCCGACCTTGGAGAGTCTACCAGAGGTGTGGCCATCGATCTACGGCCATGATTGCGCCGCTTTACTGTTGATTATCATTGTATTAGAGTTATTATTGATGTACTTATTTATGTATTTTATTATATTTTCCTTTTTTGCCCCCACTTGAGGGACTAGTCATGTGTATGCCCAAGGGACAAGTTGGTTTTTGTAGTTTTCTTCATTGTATTGGCTATTAAAAGCCTCCCCCTCCTTTGAGGGTTAATGAATAATATTATGAAAGATTTCAGCAATGGCTCCTTGAGTGCTTGAGAGAGATCGTTTTGGTGAGAACCCTATGTGAGGGAATTGGATCACGCACCAGCCACAGGAAGCGTCCGAGCTCGTGGTTACCTTATTCCTTCTTTCTCCCCTCCTCCTCTCTTGCCCACCGGCCAAACTCTCTCGTCCATAGCCGCTGGCCAAGCCCGCACAACTCTCCTCTTCTCTACCTCTCGGCCAAACCCCCTTCCCCCAACAACAACGGCCGGCAACCTCCCCCTCCACCAAACCGCTAGCCATAAAGCCCCCACTACTCCTCTAACCGCCGGCCCCCATCCCCTCCCTTGGCTTCCAAAATTCAAATTCCTATTTAATACTTTTCCTATATTAAATGTCTTAATTTAGGAAAGTTTTCAAATTTTCAAATTCAAATTAATTTGAATTTGGAATCCTTTCCTAAAATAAGATTGATTTAATTTGAAAACTTTTCAATCTTCTCAAATCTGAAATTAATTAGGGATTCTCCTTTAATCCTCTTTCCTTAATTAATATCCTAAGTTTGGAAAGAATTTTAAAATTCCTCAATCAAACCCCATGCATGGCCGGCCCACCCCCTCTCCAATTCAATTAACCCACATTAATTCCCATTCAATCCCAATCAAAGCTGCCCACCCCCCCCCTTCATCTCTCCTACCTAATTAAATTATTCCCTTAAACTCTCAAATCAACCCTCCCTAATCTTTCCCAACCCTAACCGCCTCCTCCCAAGTTCTCCCTCACATTTCCCTCTCTTTCTCTGAAATTCATGCTAGCTATCCACATATTTCAGCAGATCTTCTTGATGTCCTGCACCCATGAAGGTCACGACTTGCTGTCCAAAAGCTCCCAACATCCTATAGTTGCTGTCCAAGACTTTTCCAAACATTGTAGGTTGTTGTCCAGAGAATTTCAGAGAGGAGTTTCACTGTCCAGTCCTCCGGAACGACACCGTTCGCTGTACAGACTTTCCTGGACATTGTTAGATTGTTGTCCAGGGAATTCCAGCAAGAAGAGTCTCCGGAAATCCACTACTTGCTGTCCCGAAGTTCTAAACTCTGGCAAAGGTGAAGTTCTTCTCCAAAATCTTTTTTTTTCTAAGTCTTACCTTAACTTGTGGTCTTAGTTGATTCATAAAGGTTGTGTTAACTCCATTTGTTAAGTCTAGTAATTTAGAAAGTTGAGTGAGGGATCTATTTCATAGTGACTAGTCTCATTGTTAACTTAGAAATTTTTCGTTGAAAATATTTCATGTATGTTATGCTTGAGTAATTAATTATTTTGTGATCTTAACCTTTAGTTGTGTGACTTGGCCTAAGCTAGTATCACCCCTTGTTTGTTTTATTTCATCGTTTAAATCACTACAAGTTTACTAATTAATATTGCTCTCTAAATTAAAGCGTGCAAAATCCTTATCTAACATTGCCTAATCATTTAAGTCCTGCATCATTCATTCTACAAAGAAAAAATGTGTAGCACTATTCAATCAATGAGAGAGAATTTTGTAAAATGACACCATTGAACCCCATATCAGATATATAACAAATATGTCCATCTATGGAAGAAAAGGTCATAAAAGGCTACTTTCAAGCCCTATTCTTGAAGTAGAGTCCATGTAGAGTGACTCAACTATTTTTAGCCTAAATGTGCAGTACTAGGTCCTATTTGTTTAGCAACATAGCACTAGTTTCCTCCACCCATCCTGCTCAGTCACTTGTTCTTCACCTAGTCTATCAAAAAAAAAACAAAGACCCAGAATCAATCCAAAGAGTAGTAAAGCTTCATATGGTACTTATTTCAAAGTGATAGTCATTTGCAACTTCATAAACATGCTTAAGTCAAAATCCATTGACAATCATTTATCTAAAAGTCTTCATATAATTGTGAAAGCAAACTTTTTACAATCTTTATAGTTGAGAATGAGAAAGGCTGAGACTTTGTAGTTTCATGCAGGGTTAAGGAGTTGGGTGGGTATCGTTTGTTAGAAATTTTTATTTTAACACAATAAAATAAGATTTTCCTGAACATATATACACCTATACAAATACAAAATGATGAACTCATCACTTGACAAATGATAACCTATCTACGTACATTTAATTGCAAAAAACAACAAAAAGATCAAATCTATGTACTTCAAGTTGAAAATAAAAATAAAAATAATAACACCAACTAACAATGAGACAATACAATGAATGAAAAACTTGAAAAGAAGCCTCTATTTTAAACAATCCAGACAAATCCTCATCAAGGATTGATTCCTCACTCCAACTCTAGATTATAAACTACTGCTTTTTGAATTGTAGCATGAAATTTCTGATTTTAACAGAAGATATTCAACAATGAAAAAGATATTGTGTCCATCATATGTAGGTATGTCTCGATAAATATAGGAACCACCAAACTATTCAATCATTTTATTCATCAAGAATCTGCATCTATCCCTAGACTTCACCATGATCGATTTTGGACTTGTATAACCAACCAACCTTCTCTTTGATGTTCACACACAAATTTTTGATGAGAACATCATATTCTTAGCAAGAATTTTTGAATCCCAGATAACGCGGAGGCTTGATTACCTTGATTGATGACAAAATCTCAGAACATCATTTCAAATTGACATTAAAGGAGTTACTGATTTGAAATAGGCTCTCTAACCCCAAAAAAAAAAAATTCAATGGTAAAGCTATCGGCTACAATCACAGGGCACCATTTTGGAACCTTAAACTCCCAAGTTAGGGTGGGAGATGTAGTTGTACAAATCAACGATGATAACATTTCGCTAGATTCTATTGCATTATGGCTACGAGCACGGACACAAGACAAGTGAATTTAGTTCTTTGGTTTTTATTAAAAAAAATTTCCTAGGTCGAACTAAGCTGGGATAATGGAGGCAAAAACCCCTAGTGCTCGACTATAGCTCACCCATGTTGAAGACCCTGCTCCGAGCTACATAACAGGCAAAAAAACTCATTTTCTATGACTACTGTAATCGCCTCACCCTTCACTCACCACAATTTCTTCACAAAGTATGTTACTGCAGCATAGAAGGATCACTTGTCAACGCAATAGCTTACTGAAGGTTCCCATGTGTTTGAAGCAGAATTCATATTTTCTTCAGAAACAAATACCTTCTCCTCTCACCGGCTAGGAAAGAAAGATTTCCAGGAATCAGGGGAAGAAGACCAAGAACTTGAACGGATATGGTAGATGTATGAAAACAACGAAATCTATTTTGCATCATAGAACATAAGATAATTGATTATTTACTAATATCATCAGTTACACGACCTGAAACCCAAAATAGAAAAGACCCAAAATTGTAGGTCCAATTACACAATAAAAGACCGTTCAAAATAAAAGTTAGAAAAACGAAGCATAATATAGTTTCCCGCCCATCCAGTCCTAAACCACACGGTATAAGCTATGCAATAAATCCAACAAATACCAAAATATAAAGTTATGCACCAAAATCAATGAATCACACATTATATCCGTCAAGCAGTACAAAATATAAGTCAAAATCAACATATATCTAACGTTAAAAAAAATCTAATTTTTCCACAAGAAAATCATGGATCGACATGTATAAATCAGAAAGGAGGAGGAAAGGAGGCCACCAAAAAAGGAATCGCAAACATCTATATACCTCTCTTGACCGGCGGTGTCCCAAATCTGTGCCTTGATGGTCTTGTTATCGATGGTGAGCGTCCGCGTCTGGAACTCCACTCCGATGGTGGCCTTGGAGTCTAGGCTGAACTCGTTCCTCGAGAACCTTGCCAGCAGCTGCGACTTGCCCACAGCGGAGTCCCCAATCAGCACTACCTTGAAGACGTAATCGACCTTCTGGCTGAACTCCCCATGCTTGTTCGCCATCATAATCAATCCGATCGATCCAATGAGCCCTAATAGATCCTCAGACTAGCAAAACGGAGCAGATCAAGACAGGAGAATGGAAGACTCGCCTCTCATGAGATCTTCATCCCTATTTATCCAATCTAGCTTCTAATCCTGCTCGTTGACCTCTGGCAGCTTTGTTATACTACCAGAATTCGATCTCTCATCTGGATTCTCTACATGCCGTCAGGTAGAGAAAGAGCTCAGGGGAAGGAGAGAACTGGAAAACGTTACAGGCCGAGAAACAAGGAGGGGCGCGGACAAATGGAAACCGTTCGTGCGCTGCCTAAACTACTTGTTCTTTTCTTTCAAAAATCTTTTAAATTTTAAAAAGAAATTTTTAGTGATATATAATGAAATAAGAAATATTTTAATTTACATGCTTCATAATTTTGAAAATTGAGGAATATAATTATATTTATATATATATATATATATATATATAAGTTAAAGGTTTTTTCAAATTAAAAAAACGTTTAATATATTGGAAGAAGACATTCCAGTTAAGTCATTAAACATATGTTATATATTAACAAATTATTTTCTTAAAGTGAATCAAATATTAATATTCTTATATTGTATAAAGCAGAATGGAAAGAAGTCAATCAGGTCTCATTGATCTTATATACAAAGTGATATGGATATATAAAATCAAATTTAATTTAAAGTTACATGTGATGTATCAATTTGGTTGAACACATTCAACAATTTAATTCTTCTATGTCCTTACATAAAGACATATCCAACGTCTATCACTCAGCAATTCCTCCATAACTTTCTCGACACAAGAATTAATTGAATCCACTCTTTGATAATCTTCACCCTGATCCTTAAGAAACTTCAAAAATTTTAGGACATTGAAGGTGACTCCTTGATCCTAAACTCTTATGATTAGCTCTCCCTTCTAACATCAATCATGGCCTTACTTAAGACTAAGAATATCTTACTAGGATGATAGGTATTTCCATATCTTCCTCCTTATCTAAAATAATAAAATCTATAGGAAAAATGAACTTATCAACCTTCACTAAAACATCTAATATTACCCCTTAGGATTAGTGAATGAACAGTCAACTAAGTACTAGGTAACAGTGATGGAATGGACTTCTCCTTGATTTAATATTTTAAAGATGGATAAGTGCATGATATAAATGTCATAACCCAAGCCAAATAATGCTCTCCCATAAAACATATCTCCTATAGCCATTAGTATGGTGAATTTATAAGGATCCTTAAGCTTTTGTAGGGTTTTCTTTTGATTGATCATGTTAAATTCCTTGGTAAGGGCTACTATTTCAAAGTCTCTTAATTTTTTCTCTTTACTTAAAATATCTTTAATTAATTTTTCTTGTATAGGCATTTTTTCTAAGGATTTAAAAAAGGTGATATTAATTGTTAAATTTATAAGTATCTATAAAAATTTAGAGAACTTCCTATCTAAGTTTTTTTTAACAATCTCTATGGAGAAGTTGGTGAGGGTCTCTCAATTATCTTCCTAATAGGATTCTCTATTTACTTAGTGGGTTGAGATGGCTCCTTAGAGTTTGTTGCTTTCAATGGGGCTTACTCAAGAATTTTATTTATGGGTTTCTCCTCTTTCCTAACCACTTCTTCTAATTATTTTCACTCAATTGAATTTATTTATGTTCCTTGCCTTTTTCTTTTAGATTCATTTCAGTGTTACCAGGCAAGGTTCCTTGGGGCTAGCTAACTGTAATATGCAATTACAATACCAGGCATATTTAAGGAGCTAGCTAACTACCCTAACTAATTTCTAATATTTCTAATTGTAATAGCCTGTCTTTTCAACTAAGTACCCATCTACAAAGTAAGCCTTCTAATGAAGGATTTTTATCCTTACTTTGATTATTTGAATTAAATTCAAGTGGATAATTAGGCATTGTAATTGCATAATTTTGAGGAGGTTGGTTCCATTTTCCTACTTGATTTGGCTACCTAGAGTTCCCATTATTATTTCCATTTTAATTATTACTCCAGTTAAAATTATGGTGATTTTTCCAACCAGTATTATAAGTATTTGAGAAAGGGTTATTAGGTCTAATGCTGATGGCATTATGTGATTCTACTCCTGATGCATTTGAGTCACTAGAAGATCCAAACATACTATCCTCTATATGAGAAGACATACTCTAGGATGAATTGACTCCAATATTATCTTGCTTCCTAGGTATAATGTTACCTGTATAATTAAAATTTATAGAGCTTTTAATTCATGAACACTAGTTACTTTTCTAGGGTTAACTCTTTTAGAAAGCTATTAAAAATTTTTGGTGGCCATTTTTTAATCAAAGTGTAAGATTTATTGAAGGGTTTGGACGTCAACAATCCATCAATAGCCACATTAATACCAAACCATTACAAAAAATCTAAATAATGAGTCAATCAGTTTATGCATGGTGGGGACACTTCCTAAGTGATTATTTAATTCTTTCCTAAGCTTTGTAAATGGACTCACCACCTAACTGGGTAAATTAGGTGATATATTTCTAAGCTTAACTATTTTAGATGGGGACAATTATTTAGCTAAAAATTTGCGAGCTAAGTCATTTTAGGCAGTGATTGAGCATGGGGGTAATGAGTTTAACAACATTTTTGCTTTGTCTTTTATTAAAAATTGAAATAATCTAAGTCTTAATGGCATCATCAGACACACTATTGTATTTAAAGGTGGAACATATTTCCAATAAACTAGTTATATACTTAGGATCGTTTATAAGGGTTCTCTCAAATTGAGAATTTTGTATCATTTGAATTATTGCAAGTTTCAGCTTGAAATTGTTATCCTAAATACTTTGTCTATTAATGCTTTGGTAAATGCCTTAAACCATTAGATTAGCATAATCCCTAAGCAGTCTAGGTTGATCATTCTCTTGAATTTGTTTAGCCATTTTTAAACCTTCTTGTAATTTTTTTTAATAATAGTCTTTTTCAATTTCAGTGTCATACAAAATGTCTACTAGTTATTTCTTGCCACACATGCAATAGTAAATAATACAATATGTAAACATAAAATTATTAACAATTAATAAAATAATAATATTAATTTTCAACAAAATATTCTATTAGTGGCAATGTAGAGCAAGTAAAATAAAAATAAGGAGCAGATTAAATTAATAGTTTGTTCCACAATATAAAATACAAGATAGGATAATTAACTTCAATTTCTTGGCAATGACACTGTAGGACTCCACCCTACTACTTATCTTTATAAATATGGTATACTATATTATAGTGTAACTCCTATTCTACACAAGTATATGTGTCTTGTTAAGGAATAAAATGACGACATGAGTACTAATTTTGCAAGGAATGGAATTATCCTTAAATCACTTTAGTATTACTTAATAAAACTCTTATATTTATCCTATCAGACTATTAACAATGAGTGATGCAATTTAAAGAAAAAAAATAGAGATTCTCCAATACAAATTCAATTATTTTAAGGATTTGAACATATGATATTTAAAAACACATGCTTGTAATAGAAAGATTTCTTCCTAATGGTTCTATGAATTAGAGCATAAGCACTCCTTATCTCTATTGGGCTCATTGGAGTTTTAGCTAAGATTCCTCCCAACTACACTTTTAATATCTCCTTAGGATTCCATAGCCCTAACCGCCATATGTTTAACCATGGCAAGATTATGCTTTAAATACTCTATATATTCATCTACTTCTCCATCAAGGTTATATATCACTATAGATTTAAAGTTTATACAAGGCTTATACAAACTACATGAAGCATGGAGGTAAAAACAAACATAACAAACATCTTCATTTCATTGAATAATATAAAAGTGCATGGTACAAAATATGGATAGAAATGACCCATAAATCTTTTTGTAAGCAATATAGACTCCTTTCTTCTCTAACATAATAGGTACAAAAGGAATAACCTCCACTAGAACTAGCCTCACACACACACACACACACCCTCATGTCTCTTCAACATGCCAATGTAATATAAGCTTCATATTTATAGAAATCCAAAATACTAGAACTAGCATCATGGCACTGACCAAGTAGCTTTGCAGTGCTGTTGATATGATATTTCAGTTCACCACTCGTTGCATCCATTTTTTAGTTTAATCATCTCCAACTATCTTCCAGTGCATCGTTGGGGAAATTTTGCACTGTGTCGCCTCATTTGGAGCTGTGTCACTCCATGAGTAGTTCCTCAGCTCTAAGCTCTCCAACAATCATTGGGGATTTCGATCACTATGACACCATTCTGGTAGCATTGTGGCGCTTGGGTAAATTGTAGCCCTACGGCACTATATATGTAGCCTTGTGGTGTTGGAGCCTTTTTATAATGTTGACCCATTTTTTGCACAAAAAGATAGGAATTAAGGGCATAGTAGTAGTAGTAGTAGTAGTAGTAGTAATAATAATAATAAAAGTTACAATTTATAGTTCATACTTTTTCTCTTATCATTTATGTAATAACTATAAGAGGAGAAAGATATAACCATGAATCCATGCTACAAATCATGTCTTACCTTCCTCTGAAGGGTTGCTCTCAAATCTACTTTCAAACTCTCCCACTTTCATTCCCTAAACTATTGTAACATGCATAAAAATAAAAGAAAAGAGTCCCCTTTATAAGAATTTTGACTTCCTATTTATATTTTAACTTCCTAACTGCTTACAACACCACAACATAAAATGTGTAGTGCTACATTAATTAATTATGATCGTAGCACTACAATACTCTATGTTAATTATCATGGTGCTTCATGAATCATCGTGTCTCTGTGTATGTGCATATCCATATACAACATCGTGGTGCTTGGGCAATTTGGTATGGAATTGCTAAGGTAAATTAGCTCTAGAACTTTGAATTGATGGATTTACAATGCTACTCCTTGTATTAAACAAAAAATATTCTCTTGAAAGTGTCATGTTGTTAGAATTTTAGTGTTTAGGTACTGGAATTTTAATTTTGTGGTACTAAAACTTTGGCTCAACAACATCAAGCTTGCTAGCTTAACACAAAATAAGTTTCTCAACATTGGATATTGCACTACGGTGCTTACTTCTTTGTTTGAACCCTAAAAATTCCCTCTAGGAGCATTGTGACACTGAGATGAAGGCATTATGGCGCTAAGTTGAATTCTTTTATGTTTTAATTCTTCTCAGATTTTCTGCACAAAATAATGAAATTATGAAACTTTCTATCTAAACTTACACACTTAAAATATTACTTTTAAAAACTCAACAAAAATCAATTAAGATAGTTCAAATAATTTTGTTTAGTTGCTTGATTTTT